TTAGAAACAACAGTTTTAAAATGTATTGAAAATTTCACCAATCTATCAAAATTGTGTGGTCAAGGTTACGACAGGCCTACTCAAGGTTACAAGCAAGAATTAAAGAACAAAACCCCACTGCCAGATTTGTACTTTGCTGTTCTCGTAATTTGAATTTAGTGATCAATGATTGTGTCACCAATGTACAAGAAGTCAGGCATTTTATGAATAATTAGAAAAAACTTTTCTTTTGTTTTTTTCAGTTCTGTTAGGCATTGGGCAATGTTAATGGAAACAAATCAAACCAACTCAGCAAAAACATTGAAAAGAGTTTGTCTAACATGATGGTCTTTCCGTATTAATGCTCTCAATGAACTACATTCTCGTTATTTTGATGTAATTAAAATATTGACATATTTATCATTAAATGGAAAAATTATGATAAGTAACGTAAAGCTAAAAATTTGATTAATTATTTTGAACAATTTTCAACCATTATTTTGATAATACAGCAGTACAAAGTAAAATACTCGAACTGATTGCAGCATTTTTGAGAATGTATTAAAGTGATGAAGATATAGAGAAATCCGTTGAGATGCTTTCATCACTCCTAATCCAATTCCAGGACTTAAGGAATAATTGGGAGTTTGTTAAAAACAATGCCCTTGAGTTATCAACTATATGGAATATTGAACCTTCTTTTCCCCAAAAAAGATTGCATTGTGTGAAAAAAATTCTTTGATGAATTATAGGTAGATGGGTGCATTGAAAACAGTGAACAATGTTTCAAAGTCAAGGTTTTTATAAAGTAATGCATTTAATAATTAATCAATAAACTATTAGATTTGAATCTGTTCAAGAATTATGTACACTTTTTAATCGCTTATAACCTACATAACTTGTTGCGTCATCTGATAAAAATATACTGGAAAGATCAGAATTGTTACAATTGGCATATCCCTCTGACATTTCGCCTAGTTTTGAACCTCAATTGCTTCAATTTAAAATGTGTTTTAATACTCATTTAAAAGAAATTACTTGTATACATGAAGTTGCCAAACTAATTTTAATTCACACTGTATCCTCAAGTGGCTTCTCCAACATTATTGCAGCATGCCTCATTTTTTTTAACTTTACCAGTGACGACAGCGACAGCAGAACAGTTATTTTCAAAACTGAAATTAATCAAAATGTATTTAAGAAGCAGTATGTCCCAACACAATCTTAGCTCTTTGGCAACTATATCAATTTGAAAAAAATAATAGCTTGTCAACTTGATTTAGAAAAAGTGATTGACCAATTTACAAATGAAAAAGCAAGAAAACAATTTTGAAGCTTTTTTATGTATTACTAGCAAGGTCGCAGCCAAAGTTTTCATCTCTAAAGCATGAGTGTTGAACTTTGAGCGCTGTTATCTTGTAAATGGCACTCGAAGTTTGACGTTCACATTTTAGAGATGAAAACGTTGGCCACAATCTTGCTATTATGTATTTGTTATTAAACTAAACTTGCATACATTTTGTCAATACAGTTTATATAATATGTAGTAAGTATTATTAGGTATTCTGTATTTAAAGAATCATATTTTGTATTATTATTATACTTGAATTTATTAAATTGAATATTTTATTATTGAAATGCCTTGAATCTCAAATAAATTATTATTGAGTAAAGTTGTAAATCAAAATAATTAGATATATTTTTTAAAATTAAATGTTCAAAACAAATTTCGCAAGACCTCTTCCAAGGAACTAGTGGGAACACAGACTACTTGCTACAGGGCACTGAATATGTAGCTACACCACTGGTTGTGCATAGTTTAAACAAGTTTGCAAACTTTCTGGCCAGACCTCATATGATAGCTTCAAGAATAAAAATGTGTATTATTGTAGTTACATTTCAATAGGAATGATTTGTCTCACATTCAAGTTAAATGATAAAAGACAACAGAAAGAAATAATTTTGTAATGCACGATATCACTTTAAACTTTCTTTTATGAATTATAGTGTAAGAAAAGTAGAATATTCATTTACAGGTTTATCTTGGATAATGTAGAATGTAGGTTAATTAAAACTGAGATAATCAGGGTTCTACAGTATTAAAATCTAATTATGTGCTACCTATATATCAAATGATTTGATATTTATATGTTCTAATGCCAGTTTATTCAACTTATCAGAATATAAAAAATCTAAAGATGAGATTGACTGTATGTTTCAAAAACATTAATCTGAGAAAAATCTTTTTTTCTTATTTCTATAAAGAGTAAAGCGTTATTTTTAGTTAATTATTGATTATTAAATTAATGTGTAATAAACTTAAGACTTATTGTGTTGAACAATAGTTTCACAAAGTTTAGATATTTTCTTTAGATTCTAAATCTTGATAATAATTCTAAAATTAATTTAGTTTTTTTTTTGTTTTAAAATCATTAAGATAAAAGTTAAATTTTAAAAATTTATTATATTAAAAATTTAAAAACTTACAATATAAAAGTTTTTAAGATTATTTATTATTTCTAAATTTAAAAGTACTTTAATTTGAAAATTACTTTATCATCAATACTTAAACANTGTTAATGGAAACAAATCAAACCAACTCAGCAAAAACATTGAAAAGAGTTTGTCTAACATGATGGTCTTTCCGTATTAATGCTCTCAATGAACTACATTCTCGTTATTTTGATGTAATTAAAATATTGACATATTTATCATTAAATGGAAAAATTATGATAAGTAACGTAAAGCTAAAAATTTGATTAATTATTTTGAACAATTTTCAACCATTATTTTGATAATACAGCAGTACAAAGTAAAATACTCGAACTGATTGCAGCATTTTTGAGAATGTATTAAAGTGATGAAGATATAGAGAAATCCGTTGAGATGCTTTCATCACTCCTAATCCAATTCCAGGACTTAAGGAATAATTGGGAGTTTGTTAAAAACAATGCCCTTGAGTTATCAACTATATGGAATATTGAACCTTCTTTTCCCCAAAAAAGATTGCATTGTGTGAAAAAAATTCTTTGATGAATTATAGGTAGATGGGTGCATTGAAAACAGTGAACAATGTTTCAAAGTCAAGGTTTTTATAAAGTAATGCATTTAATAATTAATCAATAAACTATTAGATTTGAATCTGTTCAAGAATTATGTACACTTTTTAATCGCTTATAACCTACATAACTTGTTGCGTCATCTGATAAAAATATACTGGAAAGATCAGAATTGTTACAATTGGCATATCCCTCTGACATTTCGCCTAGTTTTGAACCTCAATTGCTTCAATTTAAAATGTGTTTTAATACTCATTTAAAAGAAATTACTTGTATACATGAAGTTGCCAAACTAATTTTAATTCACACTGTATCCTCAAGTGGCTTCTCCAACATTATTGCAGCATGCCTCATTTTTTTTAACTTTACCAGTGACGACAGCGACAGCAGAACAGTTATTTTCAAAACTGAAATTAATCAAAATGTATTTAAGAAGCAGTATGTCCCAACACAATCTTAGCTCTTTGGCAACTATATCAATTTGAAAAAAATAATAGCTTGTCAACTTGATTTAGAAAAAGTGATTGACCAATTTACAAATGAAAAAGCAAGAAAACAATTTTGAAGCTTTTTTATGTATTACTAGCAAGGTCGCAGCCAAAGTTTTCATCTCTAAAGCATGAGTGTTGAACTTTGAGCGCTGTTATCTTGTAAATGGCACTCGAAGTTTGACGTTCACATTTTAGAGATGAAAACGTTGGCCACAATCTTGCTATTATGTATTTGTTATTAAACTAAACTTGCATACATTTTGTCAATACAGTTTATATAATATGTAGTAAGTATTATTAGGTATTCTGTATTTAAAGAATCATATTTTGTATTATTATTATACTTGAATTTATTAAATTGAATATTTTATTATTGAAATGCCTTGAATCTCAAATAAATTATTATTGAGTAAAGTTTTAAATCAAAATAATTAGATATATTTTTTAAAATTAAATGTTCAAAACAAATTTCGCAAGACCTCTTCCAAGGAACTAGTGGGAACACAGACTCCAGGGCACTGAATATGTAGCTATACCACTGGTTGTGCATAGTTTAAACAAGTTTGTAAACTTTCTGGACAGACCTCATATGATAGCTTCAAGAATAAAAATGTGTATTATTGTAGTTACATTTCAATAGGAATGATTTGTCTCACATTGAAGTTAAATGATAAAAGACAACAGAAAGAAATAATTTTGTAATGCATGATATCACTTTAAACTTTCTTTTATGAATTATAGTGTAAGAAAAGTAGAGTATTCATTTACAGGTTTATCTTGGATAATGTAGAATGTAGGTTAATTAAAACTCAGATAATCAGGGTTCTACAGTATTAAAATCTAATTATGTGCTACCTATATATCAAATGATTTGATATTTATATGTTCTAATGCCAGTTTATTCAACTTATCAGAATATAAAAAATCTAAAGATGAGATTGACTGTATGTTTCAAAAACATTAATCTGAGAAAAATCTTTTTTTCTTACTTCTATAAAGAGTAAAGCGTTATTTTTAGTTAATTATTGATTATTAAATTAATGTGTAATAAACTTAAGACTTATTGTGTTGAACAATAGTTTCACAAAGTTTAGATATTTTCTTTAGATTCTAAATCTTGATAATAATTCTAAAATTAATTTAGTTTTTTTTTTGTTTTAAAATCATTAAGATAAAAGTTAAATTTTAAAAATTTATTATATTAAAAATTTAAAAACTTACAATATAAAAGTTTTTAAGATTATTTATTATTTATAAATTTAAAAGTACTTTAATTTGAAAATTACTTTATCATCAATACTTAAACAATGAATTAAATCACAAATTCTTTATAAGTATTTTGATAACAAGTTGACATCTTCAACATCTTGATATAAACATAACTATGTAATAAAATTATATATTCAAAATAAATCTCTTCATTTTATTAAATTTGTATTTGGTAAATTATTAAATTCTATCATAAACTTACAGTTTCCCACAATGAAATATCTTGATATTCATTGTTTTGTTCTGTCTTATTTTTAGCAGCTCTCATACTATCTGACCAAGAACGTCTTGCCTGGCTCTTTCTATAACAATCTTTCTTTACTTTGTTTCTTCTAAAAGCACTACAAATTAAACAATAATAAAAGTCTTCAATTTTATTCAAATGTTCAAAATTATTTTATAAAATTCTGAAGGTATAAATTTATGTACCTTGGAATAATGGAACTATTGCTGTACTTCTCACTATTTTCTAACTCAATGTCACTAATGTCCACCCAAGATTCTTGTTCATCACTGTCACATGAACCTTACAAGAACAATAAATATTCCATTTGTCATTGTAAATAAATAATGTAAAGTATAAATTCTTAAATATTAATATTACTCTGTACAAGTAAGATATTTTATTTTTAGACAATAAAATAATGATGATTTGATAAAATTTTAATATTCTGAAATTCCATATACAGTATACTGAATCTAACATGAAATTGTAATAATGTAAATAAATATTTTTTTAAAAGATTGCAATTTTCTTACAAATTGTAGAGAGATATAGAATTTAATCAGAAATTGAAACTTAAATATTTCATATTTTTAATATGCCAGAAATATGATTGAATAACAAACATTTAATAATCACTATCTGTAAATTGATGAAACTTGAGAAATATCAAATCACTGAAATTGTGTTTGCAATAATATGATATTGTAATGATGGGTCAAGTTTTTCTTTTACAATAAAACTATTAATATTTCAAAATTCTTATAATGATAACTAAATATTTCATACTTAATATTTCTTTTGAACAAGTTAGAAACTTAACACGTTTAAAAACAAATTTAAAATATTTATATACAGTGGAATCCCGGTTAACGAACTCAATCCGTTCCGCGACTCCGTTCGTTAACCGAAGTAATTTTTCCCATAGAAATTAATGTAAATGCAATTAATCCGTTCTAGTCTCCGAAATTTTTGTGATTTTATTTGTAATATACAGTAATTTTCTTCGATGAAAATGTAAGAAAACGTAGTATCTATCATTACAGCAACAAACATGTAAACTTTGTTTAATAAACTAGCACTGTACATAACCTCATTTGTTGTAGTTGGTGGCAGAAAAGTGGAGATATACGAACCTTAATGCTTAGAAGGGGAATCCCCTCCAAAAAATCAACGGGTAGCATTTCATTGGAAGATTCTTCCAGTCGAAGTCTCTTTCGGTAAAAAACCCACCAGTGGCTAAGTGGTCTTCGTACCTTGAACATGGGGAGTTCTTTGGTGGGTTTGCACCTCGCTCAGATGGGCTGGCCATGTAGAGTTTTCCAGGTTTTCTCCACGTCTGTAACGCCAAAATAGGGGCCAGTTTCCCTTAAAAACACCTCCCAGAAGACATTTCCCTAGGCAGATCGCCCAAGTGTTGCGTTGCCATAACTTAACAAACAAACAAACTTTTTCCGTAAGGAACAAGAAATTGATCTAAAGTTGATTGTCTTACTATTTTAATCAAGATTTTTCTCAAATGCGATAGCACATTGTCATTTATATTGCGTTGTCGTTTTCTATTGCCACTATGAGTTTTTTCTTTCTTGGATGCCATATTGATTAAATGTATAAATCACAAAACTGAAAAAAGAAGTATAGCACAAACACTCGGAAAAGCAATGCTTAACTCGCGTATGCCTGACACCAATTAAAATTTGACACAAAATATCGTTATGTTCGTTATCCGAATGTTGTTCGTTATCCGAGACAAAATTTTTGCAAAATAAAAGTTTGTTAACCAATTTGGTCGTTAACCAGGACATTCGTTAACTGGGGTTCCACTGTAAATTCCCCTTTCTATACTTTCTTTTAATATAATGTAAATGTATTGTAATTAACAATAACAGCACTAACCTAAATGTAATTAAGCAAGTTCTTGCTTAGTTATACTTTAGTAGAAGCACTGTACTAAATGTGCTCTATTGGAAGCACTCTAGAACTTTTAGTAAGAAAGGATAATATGAACAATTAACCTTCACAGATAGATTACAGATAAAGATAATGTTGAAAGATATACCAGTATATAACATTATCTTTAAGAGGCAGATCTTGATTAAGATCGAAAACGTTTGTTCATTTGTGTATTATTTCTTACCAGAAGTAAAAATTTAACAGAGATGTTTACATGTACCAGTAATTGGTCTAGTAGTTTGCATTATCTTTAGTCTAGGATAGTCTTAGTAATATCAACAGATTCTGTGGAAAATTGGTGAATTTCTTTTTGTTTCTTTTTCTATTGCCTATTTTGAAAATTAGCCTTGCCTTTGCAGGAAATATGAATAAATTAATGTACTGTAGATCTGTTTTACAGAAATGCTTGATATTAATATCAACATGGCAGATATCTAAAAATTGGTGACAAAAATTAACAGAGAGGTAGGTAGACAAAAAGGACTTAAAATTGGTATCATCATATTTGAATGACCCTATAAGTCCTATCACAAAAATTTGTGAACAAAAATTTCTATAATAGAAAATAAAGTCTCTTCATTAATTCATAGTCTTTTGCCTTTCTGCTTATAAATTTCACATATCTCAACAAAATAATAAGACTTTCTAAAGAATAAACATCTTTAACACTTTTTTCAGCAACACTTCACTTTATTCAAACAAATGCTCTACTGAAGTGTTGCTGGAAAAAGTATTAAAGATGTTGTTTACTTTAAACTACTATAGTTTCAGCATTGATAGAAGTGTTTTAAAAATTTCTAATCTCTGAGTTTGGAAAACACCTTATAAAGAAAGCAAGAAGTGTTAAAATGGACTTCAATAGTTTAAAGATTCATTGTGAAACATGTTGTTCTATGTGCAATTTGAGTTACTATTTTAATTTATCATTTCAAATTTTATGTTGGTTTGTGATTATTAAAAGAAAACTAAATCACACATCATTTTTGCCTTCTAGAAGTACAGTAAAATCAAAATTTAGGTTATTATAGCTCAGTGAAAGTTGCAATTTTTGAACTGATGTATCAACAGTTTTGTTCATGATAATATTTATTGAAAAAAATAATTACCTTATTTTATCATTTAAATTATCAGAATTTAATAGTTAAGACTAATGTTTTCATATTTATATTTCAATGAACAAAGATAAATGATTTTTTTTTAGAAAATGTTACTTTAATAAACTCTTATAATCATAAAAGTTACATTATAAGAATGCAATTATAATAGCAAAATATAAATCAATTCACTCAAAAATATTAAAATTTTGTAACTGAAGAATTAAAAATAAATTTTTCTTAACTAAGAAATATGCAACTTGTTAAAAAAAATAGTAAATTTTTATTAAAAACTGTCATTTTTCAAAAAAATTTTAATAAGAGTATAAAAATAAAATATTAATATTTAATGAACTATCAATACACCTTCTGCTGCTGAGAGATATTTAGTAAACAAAACATGTCTTCAGCCTAATACATTAGACCATCTTCAGGTGTAACTGGATTTGAATGCCTTTTCAAAGATTTAATATTTTAACTATGGAATGTCTGAACATTTTACATTTAAATTTAAAATGAAAATATTAGATAAATTAACAAATAAATAATAAAATATATTAAATAAACTAAAACAATAACTATATAAATAATAAAATAAAATACACAAAAAATGCATCCAAATATAAGGCAGCTGTGGACTACGAATTTTTATATTTTTCTTTTATGTAGAATTTCCATGCTGAAGCTAGTCCATCTGCATCCCTGGCACTAATACACCCATCTTTTAATTTACTTTTATAGATTTCAATTTTTTCTTTGTTCATTGCTAATGATGAGGAATGCTTAAAACATTAATCTTAAAATATTTTTCAATTTAGAGATCAAGATATTATAGCAACAATAAAGCAATTTTATTTGTTTTGCTTTCAGACAACATGGATGTCATGGACACAAAAGTGTTGTGTCATCCTGAAAAATTTACAGAAATCTGAAAAAAAATAATTATTATTATTATTAAAAGTTCAATAGATAAAAATAAAACTGTTGATATTAAATATGCTAGGTGATCATAATTCAAATATTCCCACTTAACACTGCCAAGAAAGATATTTAGCAGTCAAAGTGAACTAAATCTGGTTAAATGACATTTCAGGACATGTATCATATTACAACTCTTAAGTTATTTATTCTGCCCCACCAGATGGCACTACAGAGTACAAAGAGACTGTACTATAATCATAAGCAGTCAGACACCTAATGCTAGTATTAAGGTGACTGGACTATGAAGTCAGACCAATAATGCTCAAGCTCTGGGGGTACAACTCAAAGGGGACCACTCCTTCCTTGCCTTCCTCACTCTCGAGTCCAACTCACTAACCTTGACATACAGTTTTTTGTGCAATTTATACTGCACTTTGAGTGCTATACCTAAGAGAGGTCAACAGGTCCTCTTTCCCCTAAAAAGGAGAGTCCTGCCTAGTGTGTCCACTGAGCTTGGGTCTAAAAGATCTATTACTATTTCCATTAATTCCTTTAGTCTCTCTAAGTTTCCTTTAAAAATCGAAGATTCCTTTAATTCAAATTTCAAATTAATGAATCCAGTATAAAATAACAGAAGGTATAAAAAATAAGCCTGAAGAAGATCCTAGAAGGGGAATCGAAGATGTTTGCTGATTTTTAAAGAATTTCAGTTACTGGTTAACTGTAGATCGTTTAGTTGAAATATATACAACCCGGTGTGGTGAGAAAGTATATTTCCTTTAATTGCTGTTATTGTTTGAAGTACTTGTTCAGGAGGCTTTGACCAGTTGATATGGTCAGCCTTCTGGCAGAAGCCCTCAGTAAGAGAACATTCAAGTATATAGTGCCTTATGTCACTGCATGAACACCCACAAGAGCAGAAACCATCTCATCCTAATTTGGACTTGAAGTGGGGAAACCTCCCATGTCCTGTCAGTATCTGAGTCACAAACCAATTGAAATCCACTGGAGTTTGGACAACTTCAAGCACAAAAGCATAGGTTGACTATCTACTGTACTTTGAGTCCAGCACTCTTGTCAGTGTGTCATTAATCGTTGCAGTAGCATACCTTTTATGTAAGAAGCAAAAAATAAGAAAGGTAAAAAAATACAAATTTTTTACCTTCTTGAAAATACACTGCTGGCCATCAAAATGCAACACCAAGAAGGACTAGAGATATCACAGCCAAATTTATTTGGGAGATAACACATTGTACAAAGATCAAATTATTGAAAATACAGTCTCTTGTGAAGTGAGGAAGATGATGGAATCAGTATGGCGTGTTGCTGCCATTGATGGGCTATAACTGCAGATACACGCCTTGGCATTGAGTCAAAGAAGCTTTGGAAATGTTGCTGGGGTATAGTATTCCATGCTGCTTCCACATATGATCTGGTGTAACAGCAGGTGGTGTATCCTGGGCCAGTCGTTCTGCAATCATCGACCAGATGTTTTCTATAGGCGAGAGATCAGGAGAACAAGGAAGCTAAGGCAGCAATGCAATCTGATGGGCGAAGAAGAATTCTTGAGCAATGTGTGCCATGTGTGGTCATGCATTATCCTGTTGGAATGTGGCCATTGGAAAGCTCTGAAGGTATGGGAGGACAACAGGCTCCAACACCTCAGAGATATAGTGCTGGCTGGTCAGTGTACTGGCAATATGTACTAGGGGGTGTGGGAGAGGAATCCAATACCACCCCAAACCATAATACCAGGTCTAGGACAAGTATGGCAATACATAAGGCAACAGTTCAGCAATCCCTCACCACGGTGTCTCCAGACTGTAATCTGACCATTGTGGTGTTGCAGGCAGAAGCAAGATTCGTCAGTAAAAACAATGTCGTTCCATTTAATTGTCCATGCCCGTCGTTCATCGCACCATTGCCAGTGCAAACACCTGTGGTTTTGACTCAACAGTAAATGCAGCAGTGGATGCCTTGCAGACATTCCACTCTGCTGCAAACAACGTCGAATGATATGCACGAATACCGACTGTTGCGCAACAGACTGAATTTGTTGTGATATGGTTTGTGATGTGGCACAGCAATCCATCACTGCCATGCACGTGATGTGCCTGTCATCACGTGCAGTGGTGCAATGAGGTGGGTGCAATTGGTCCCATCAGTCCGTCGTTCCCTCCTGCATCCAGCAGTTACAGATTTGCATCACAGTTGTTTGGTTACATCCAACATGATCACCGATTTCTCTGAAGGATAATCTGCAATCCCTATAAGCAACTATTCTTCCTCAGTCGAACTCAGAAACGTGCTTGAAAGACGCTCGTTTTCTTCTGCATGGCATACTGAAGCTGCTTATGCCAAAAAAACGCACAAGAGAACAATTCCAGTACTTCAAAACGGCCTTCTATTCTCCCTTTATATAGCACTTGCAGGTGGTGCAACAGGCGCCCGTGATGTGCGTCTGTGCTGAAATGCTAATCATTTGCATATCTCATTGCCACAAATGCATGGTGCAAATTTTACTTGGTTTGGATGCTTCCTTCAGGGTGTTGCATTTTGTATGGCCAGCAGTGTATTTTGGAGCAGCTGTTGTGGATACCCAAAGCTAAACTAATTTTTCAATCAATTTCATTTCTTTCTTTACATCAGTGATTCTCAACCACTGTGCTGCAGCACTTTAATGTGACTCAAGATTTTTGAAGTGTGACGTCACTGCAAATATCTATACATAAGTGATGTCAGACAAGTAGTTTAATCGGCTCTACCTTCTTAGAGCGCATTTGGAAATTGTAACCAGTGTTACCAGTAACTGCCGATAGTTACCAAGGCATTTAGAAAATGCGACCTAAATAACCAACTGCGTTTAAAAATCACTGTTATGATGTCACTGGTTGTCCTGCAGTACTTACCGAAATAATAGTGTGTGCTGCCAAATTTTTAAATTATTAAAAGTGTACCATGACAAAAAAAAAAGATTGAGAATCACTGGTATAAGGTATACACCACACAATTAGAAAATAATGTCAAGACAATAAAAACAATGTCAGGTAGACAACAGATGTTATTAAAATGTTTTCAAACACAAAATAAGTTTACTTACAACTCTAATATATTTTTGGTTAAACCAATTTAATCTTCTTCAAGATAGAAGATGACAGAAAATAACAGAACTTTAAGTAGAGTAGAACTATTAGAGTCCTGAGAGTATTACACATCACTTTGGGGTAGTACATTGTCTATTTTTCCCAGAGATAATACCATAGTCATATACTGGGAACCCTTCTTTATTTATAATCTATAGCCAATCAATTCTCCAACTCTAACATGCCCTCATATTACTTTGAATTACTATTTAATCTGAATCTATGTTTAAACTGGTTCAATTTACTGTGTAAAATACTCATTCAAAAACCTTTTAATGCAATATATATAACTTTATTCTAATATTTTTGATTGTTTTAAATGATCATCTTCAGGAAAAACATTCCAATAAGAACAAATGCCTAACATTTTTTAGAATGTTTTTTAAAAGCTCAAATCATTATTAACAAAAATAATTCCATAAATAATCAAATAAATACACACAATAAAATAAAATAAAACAACATTAAAATAAACCAAAATACGTTGGTAAATAAATAAAATAATATATAAACGTCAATCATTACTGCTATGCAACAAAGCTTTCCAGGCTCCCAGAATTATGTTAACAGTCTTGAAATTAATTGCCTGCTCCTTCAACATAGCCTTGTTGATATGACAGGCTTCTGCATATTTTATTTGTTGTTTCTTCTGTACTCTTTATATTATTTTAGCATTGTTCCACAGAACAGAAACCAATTGGGAGTCAGCCAGTACCTGTACATACATCACTAATGCCTTACTATAGTTAGATTTACTGTGTATATTTTATTGAGATTTTGTTAATATTTTTATTTATTATTATTTACACTAATTTTGTTTTATTTACACTAATTGTATTTATTATAATTATTTACACTCAGTATAAATTTCCACCACTACTGTTAATGTAAAAAAGTCTATTCAAAATTCAATTTCGAAGTTCTGTTCTTTTCTGACACATTCTATCCTGATGAAGGTTAAATCGGTTTAATTGAAAGTATTAGAGTTGTAAAGTTATTTTGTGTTTGAAAACATTTTAATAACATCAATTTTATCAACTTGACATTAGTTTCATGTGTTCTAACATTTGAAGTTCCACAGATGTTCAGAAATCTGAATGTCAATTAGGTTTGATTCAGTTTAGAAGTTATATTTGAAGATTAGTTGAATGGACTCAAAAAATGTTTAATACCAAAAATAAAAAAATGATAATAAAAAGATAACTGCCTAAAAAACAATAAGACACTCACAACCTTTTCAAGCAGGGAAAAAACTATTTAATACACAATGTTTTTGATCTTATTAAAAGAAAATCTTCAGGTTTATAAAAAAATTCCATAATGGTTAAGAATGCAAGAAAATAGAACCTAAGTATTTGGAATGCCAAACATTTCAAATTGAAACAAAATGCTTTTATTAGACTTATTTCTTACTTTTTTTTCATTGCCCTTGTGGGTGACATTTACATAATTTGTAACTTATTATTTATTTATTTTCCATTATTTTTCAAAATGTTTAATGTAATCAAAATTAAAAATATATCAAATTTCAATGTATACTTTTTTGTTTATTCTTTTATTTGATGTTTTTAACTTAAAAATGAATGATAGAGGATTTAATAAACTATTATTTTCTTACAAATTTACTAAAATCTTCCTTTATCATCAAAGCTATTCTTTTAAGAACCAATCTTTTAAATTAAACCTGCAAGATAAATGCAATTTGCAGATGTCTTCCATAATTTTAATATATATAACAAACTTAACTTTGATTTTATTTTATAAAAATAAAAGTAAATATTTGAATATTTTTTACTTACCTATATTATTGTATTCATTTTCAACATTTGTAGTTTGCTCATTATCCTTATTATGTATTTTCTTGCAGTTCCTAAATTCATGTTTGGTCGTTGCCATGTCATTCATGTAAACTGCTTCACTACGAGTATTAAATTTTCGATGTTGAGCTGAAGTAGAATGGGACCATAAGAAAGATTCATTGGGTTTTAATGATTTGCTTAACTTTACTTCTTGCTGATTCATATATCTATGTGAATTTACATCTGATCTTAGAATTTCTTCTTTTTGAGTTTTCTCTGAACTTATTCTTGAATCTAAACAGAAAGACTTTGATTTTTTTTCATTGATCATAATTGGAGGCCTTTTATCATCTTTACTGTTGAAAGACTGTTTACGAAACTCTTGATTTTTATTAGTTTTAATATCTGATTTCCCCACTATGATACTATCTTGTTTGAATTCCTTATCAATATAAGAAATAGGTTTGGGTTTTGGACTACTAGGATTACTACATGATTTTTTACTAGAAATACTACTTAAAGAATTGTTTCTTGAATGAGAAATAAAATGTCTCTTTTGAATTTCAGGAGAAGAAAGTGCCAAATTTTCTTCATAACTTAAAATTGCTTTCTGAACTAAACTTAATTCTTCACTTTCTAGTTTTAAATCTTGAAGCTGTAGATTTTTATTACCCAATGGCTGAGTACAAATTTTTTCATTTTTTGAAGTATCGGATAGAGAAGTTTGAGTCTTATTATTTTTATCAGCAGATTTAGTAAATAATCCCAAACATGAACATTTTTCTATGGCAGTACATGGCATATTTTCTACAGGTAAACATTCCAGCTGAGAATTATTTTTTAACTGGCTTTCAGTTTCATTTTTCTGTAATGTAGTAAAAACATTACTTGAGGAAAATGATTTTGAGAGTATGTGACATTTTGACTCATCAACATTCACAACTGAATTACTTTTCTTCATTTCTGGTTTTTGACAGCTGAGTGAATTAAATTTATTAGTGAGATAAGCTACTTTTGATTCTTTTGCATCATTCCTTTGCTGATCATTTTCAATGCAATCAGCCAGTAATGCTTCTCTATGGTCTGACAATGAACTATTTTTTTGAAGATGTGATTTTGTACTGTCTGTATTCTTTGTCTTAAAACCATATCTATTAATTTTTTCATTGTCACTCAAGTATTTTTTATCTTTGACTGTTCTGTAAGAAGAAGCAACTTTCTTTTCATTGAGTGAATGAAGGGAAACATTAGTGTATATCTGATTAGTTTTATTTTTATTTAGACTTGTACGTAATGCTGGAATGGGATGATTCTCTGTAGATTTTTTGTTAATTTTACTATCCTGATTTGTACAACTTTCAGTTCGTTTGTTTCCAACAAGTTTTGTATGTGCTTGGGCTTTTTGCTTTATTACATCTTTACTAAAAGCATTTGATTCTTTAAGAAGTTTAGATGAATTTTTTGAAATGTCAAATGTTTTCATTTTGAATGTTGATAAATTTTTATCAGTGGTAAAAGTTTTAATACTTTTTAAATCTTCACTAACAAGTCTGGATGGCAATGTTGAAGACTTCTTTCTAGTGGTTACACTAGCATTTGATGACAATGATTTTGAATACATTTTATTATCTGATTTCCGTAAGGAAGAATCTTTACAACTGATATTTTCACTAATGGATGGCTGCAATGAACTTAGAGATTCATGAGAATCACCTCTCTCAAACTTATCTTTTATTCGTGACCATTTAGGAGAATTGTTCAAACTTCCTATAGCTTTATTTCTACTTTTTGAATTATCTTCAACTGATTTGGACTCTGTTACAGTTTCAGAAACTTTTGCATCTTTTGTTACTTTATTACATTTATTATATGATAATGATAAAGAATTATGTGATTGAGATGTATTTATACCTGATTTTGATAAAGAATTTTTTGAGTTATAGTTAATATTATTTCCAGTATATCTTGTTTTGGAATTTTCTTTTGCATATTTCAATTGGCAGTCATTTCCCTTTATGCTCATTTTATCTTTGAAGCTTTCACTATTGTTATGGCTTTGTAACAAGGTTTCTCTTAGTTTGTGATACCTTGTATATCCATTGAAATCATTTTCTTTCTTTGGAGAATATTCAATAATTCTCATGTTTTCCCATTAAATATCAACAAAATAATCAGAAAGCACCAAAAATCACATTTTTGTTTCTTAATCATCTTCATTAATTAACTGAAATAAAATACAAAAATATAATATTAAAATATGGAAAAATATTAGCAATATAATAATTATATTTTAAATTTAAAAACTATTTTTAAAATATTGTATATCAATGTTCCATTTCTATTTTAAATACATTAATTAATCTGAATAATTGTTAGCCTAATGGAGCATTGATCTGAATGTTATTCATATCAATATGCCATTTCAAAAACTTTTTGTAACAAGCAGGCCTCNTGAAAAATGTTTTCAACTTTTTCAGGCCTGCTTGAATTATATGAAAAATATCAAAATATATATATATATTTTTTTTTTCATATAATTAAACATTTGGCTACTTGACAAAGTAGTGTTGATTTCTATTTTTACAATATATCACTAAGAATTTTATGATTTAAAGTTATATTTAATTTATTAAATATAAACATTAAATGTAAAAACTTAAATGAATCAAACAGATCTAAAGTTTCCCTTAAATTATTTTAAAAATTTTTAATTTATTATCTTTTTTAAATCCATTATAATTTTAAAAAAAATCATAAATAATTTGGAGTTAAGTTAATTGAAGGGTAAGAATAAAGAAACATAAATAATACTGATTATATGCTTCCTGTAGAAAATTAGAAAGCATAGGCAGATGCATTGAACAGAAAGAACATGATTGTAAATGTATGTAAATAAATTTAATGCTGAAAGACAGTACAATTTCTTCTTTATAAATTTGAACTTGAACTATGAAAATAAATTTGAACTTTTATTCAACTGGTACAGGATAGATTGTTTTTTAATTAACAGAAATTTTCTAAGAAAGTTAATCTATTTGAATAAGAACAGTATTTCAGTTGTTAGTAAATATTTAATTAAAACTTTTTTCATATAAAAAATATTTTTGACTTTTTCCATCTTGTGAGCACTATAAGAGGACCTTTTTCTATGCTTGGCATAGATAGACCAACAATGGGGATAGCCAGATGGTAAATGATGGCATCCAATGTATCCAGAATGGACTGCCCATGAAAATTCCTGGGTTGCTCACCCAGATTCAATCCTGGATCTTCCAGAATGATAGACTGATGCCTTAACTGCCTGCCTTGGCCATCAAATGACAATATATGATCCAAACTAGTCTGTCAGTAAACACAGTATAAGAATAATCAGTGACAATTCAGATGGTAGTAATTATTATAGTACATTAATTATTTTTGATAAAAGCTAGCTATAAAAATAAGCTATAAAAGTTTATATAATCATAATGACAATGATTAAATCCTTGTAAATTCATATTACATTTATTTCATATAATATTTTATATAATCAATGAAGTTTTTAAACAACTTTTATGCCTAAGTGAATGATTTAACTATAGTGTAGTGAAATTTATTCTATTTACTAATAAAGAAATTTTATGATAATCATATGTAAACAATCAATGATTTGATTAGTATTATGATAAATCTTTTTGATGCCAATTAAATGCAAAAAACTAATTAATTAGAGAAATTAATCATAACAGGAATGATTTAATTTTAAATATTCTGTAAATTTTGATATTAAAATTTTAATCTGAAATATATTGATGATGATATTTACTAAAAATAATAATAAAATTGTGTTCAGTATAGTTGTTTGAAAGTAGTTTCATATTTCCAAACAAATTATAACATTACTAAATATTTTTAATAAAAATTATTTACTTGATTGTGCAATAATTAGTTTCCTCCAGGACTTTATAAATGATTTTAAAAAATATTAAAATTGACATTGAATATAATCTTCTATCAGCAGTGATAGTTTTAAGTATAGGTAAGCTTGAGGCTTTTACCGAGAGCTTGCACTTTTAAAGTCATGCACAAATCTTGAAATTCAGTACTATGAACTAGCTAGAATCTTACACCTTATGCAATAGTGCTCACTATGTAATACAGATAACACAATATATAAAAAAAGGCTTGGTACAACAAAAAAACTGACACTGTCCATCAGTTATCAATATTTTTAAATTTTTAGGATAAATTAATATTTAAATTTTAAACATTTTAGAAAAGTATATAGATAAAACTTATTAGATATTAAACTTGCTTATAACTGAATTTATATACAATTTATTTTGTTTCACTAAAAGTATATATACATCAATATTGTTCCAATTATTTCAAAATATTTTGAAAATATCTTATAAAATTAAAAATTATAAACATAACCTAGTAACATATAGAGGAAACTGTTGTACTTTGAGCATAGTGTACCTTGGAATACTATGCTCAAAGTATTAATATTTGCAGTATCTATCAGGAAACAGTCAAAACAACTGGTAAAAATGTCACAGATGGTTATATAATCAAATCTTTAGGAGGATAGCCAGTATTTTGTAGATGTGGTCAAAATATATTTTTGTCATCTGTTAGTAAAATTCTGATGCTGATATTTGAGTTTCTAGAGAACAACACATATTGTCAGAAGGAAAAATTTGTGGAATTAGTTCAATGATTAGATGGAAGTAAGTAAGATGTAATGGTATTCTCAACCTTCCAACATTACAGATAACAAATTTACTTTTATTTGCAAGTGCACTACCTTGTTTGTTGAAATGAACAAGCATCTTGTATCTTGAAACATTATTCATATCTAGTGTTTTAAAATATTACATCCCATTGTTTTTCAGATAAAAAAAATGCCAAGTAGTAAATTTAGTATCAAGAAACCATAAATATTCCAAGGTACTGTACAATAGCTTCTCCTATAATTAAATATGGTGTTAATATTTAGGTTTTATAGCATGTTCATTTTTTAATATTTAGTAGCAATTATTATCTTTCCTAGAATTTGAATTAAAACTATATCATATAAATTACTTGCATAATCACAATTTTCTAAAAAATAATTACAAAATTATTTTACATCAAACTTTTTCTGATATTATAATTAGTTACTGAAAAAGATTTAAAAATACTGTATATAAGTTACATGCAAAAAATTAAATAAAAGTTGTGGAAGAAATAATTCAGAATATTTTGAATGGTTAAAAGCACTGATTACAAACAGAGACGTTTATAAGAATATGAAGTGTTTTGAACTAGTTCAGCTGTTTTGGATATGTTTTCATAACAAACTAATCACCAGATGATGGATGACTAAGAAATACAAACTATCAGGATCTAATGAAATTAATCCAAAGTACTATAATCGAATCTACAGTATATGTTATTTGTCAACAATTAATTGTTTTGACTTATCGGTTGTAGCCTAAAAATTTACTATTTTCATATAATATATAACATAATATTGCATACCCATATAAACTGTAATACTGTATAGTCCTCAAAGTTACTACTACTACTACCACTACCACAAAAGGGGAAAAAAATGCACGATTTTAGGTAAGAATACTCGATTTATAACACTTAATAAGCATTACAAATTCTTAAATACTGTATAGGTTTAATTCTATATAAATAAATAAAGTGCAATTTATTATACTAAGAAATTTAAAACGTTGTCAAAATAAATAAATACAGAAACTAATTATTTAAAAAATTTTCTCGTTCTCTATAATACAAAAATATTTAACTTACGGAAAACCTTGGACTTATCAGAAATACGTGCAAAACTTTAATTGATTTGAGAATCACCACGTGTTTCATGAATCATATTCTTCATATACAATACAGAGTATAACTATATGACTGTAAACCTTCGATCGTTTTACCGCATATGTTATTCTTCGAAACGCATTTACTCGCTATATCCAACTGAAGAAAAAACTTGCGAAAATGAGAAAAAACAATCCGTTCGATTAGTCATCCAGTATAATTTTACAGAAGAGGTCGATCTGATGATACATGTGCTTACGTACATCTAGTTAAGACTTTTTAAATCCTGTCGAAAAACAAAAAGTAACCCCATTAACTACTTTTAAATATCAGAAATTTACTTACATAAACTGCTTAGTTATAAACAAAACACTTCCACGTGAACGTTATTGCTGGTATGACTCAGCGACGTTATAATAAATTTTCGATCAATAAATGCAATTAATGAATAATTAAATTTATATTCGAGCACCAAAATCGTGGTTCTTCCGCGACATTTAAATTCTCTTCGAATAGATTTATTTAGTCTATAATTTATTAAAAAAAATTACACGGAAATGAACTTTAATTTACGATGAACCATTGCGTAATATCTAAAATCACAATACGAATTTTTCCGGAAATGGATATCCGTTACAGTTGCATATCCTGTGCGCAAATGAGAGAGAAAATTAAGCTAATGTAGTAAATAATATAACAAAAAATGATGATACCGAATAAATAAGTAAACAGACAGACATACTCGGAACTAAAACGCAACTGTAGAATGCAAAAAACAATGATAAACATATGGCAGAAGAGAGAGTGCTCGATTTCGAGTAGACCAACGTTCCGCATGAGTCGAAGATATTACTTTCGATTTAATTAATTATCAAACAGATAATTTTAATTACTCAAAGATAATCTTTATCAAAAAGTCGTTAAATTTATGACAAAATAAATTTTAAAAATTTAAATTCTTTTTGTATAAAAATGTACCATTTTTTTACTGTAAATATACCATTTTTGTTGCATTTTTACCATTAAAAATACCATTTTTCTAAAAAAATATATAGTATATTTACAGTCTCGAATCGATTTAAATTTTATTTTTACAAAATGAGTATCCAAAAACGATAAAACTGTCATTCGTTAGCGGCGAGATTTAATTTTAAACCGATTTGAATGTTACGTTACCAATGACGAGCGTAAAAAGCTAGATATATGTTTTAATTTCTAGTGAGAATATAGCTATAGCTAATGCTCGTGAGAAAACGTTTTAAATAAGAAATGTTAATCGAACAGTTGAATAACAGTACAGTCTTCATTCTGTCTTAACTATATCGTTGGGGTAAATTTCTTTCATTCTCCGAGATTTAGTCTATTCAATGCAATTTCTGTCATATAGTCAACTTGAAATCTTTTCAACTGTTATAACCACATTATATTATTATACAATTAAACTTTTTTCCAGCTGACTTTGAATAATTGCAGTAGCCTATATATTCAAAATGGATTCAGTACTGTATGTTAAAATCTTTTTGGATTATTTTTTGTTTAGATCACTTTCAAAAATTCATTAGTTCTGACCAATGCTTTTTTCCAGATCAGCAAGGGGAAATTTTTCTTGAATCTCTTAGAAGAGTTCGTTGTTATTTTTAAAAGAATAACAAACAATTTTTATATAATTAAGAACAAAAATCAATGTTTTCTAAAAATAAAAATGTTCCTAAATATATATATATATATAAAATTTTCTCTCTGAAATTAAGATATATAACTTTTTTAAAACCTACGTTTTTATATATCATTCTGATGTTGAATATTAAAGCGTCTCGAGCAAATTAATGTCGTAGTGAAAAATAATCCATTATTAATTCTTATTACTGACAATAACTATAGGAAGCACTTTTTATTTTCTCGCCAATAATCGATACATTAAAACTGATTAAAAGGCTTTCTAAAGGATTCTAAACAATACTTCGTCGACACGATTCAGCATTTTGAAAAACGGGAATTTCCACTATGGCCACTTAAACACGCTCAGATTTATCAATTATACTCTTTGTGCTTATTTGATTCGCGAAGTCTAGCTACTCCTAGGAAATAAACATCTTTTCTCGAATGAAATTCAAAACACAACGATCTTGATTTATTTTAGAGACTGATCCCAGCACATTTTTCGTGAAATAGTGAAAATCTTAATAAATGTGTCTGGAAAATATAACGGGACTTCAACTTCAGGAAATCCCAGCCGTTCTCTAAAAATAACATTATGGAGAATTTGACTTGATTTATCTATAAAGACATTCTGTTTCCAGACATCGTCTGTAATGGAAATAAAATAAAAGTGATTTAAAACATAACGATTTAAATTCTTTACAGAATTACGTGAAGTTTACGTGACTATAACCGATCTTCGCGTGATGTAGAACGACTGTATTTATTCCACGTTGTAGATATATTAGGTAAAGTATCTTTAAAACAAAACAAAAAAAAAATGGAAGAAATTTCCACCCGTTTCGTGGAGTTGATTTTTATGCAAATTTTTGTTTCGGGATATTTAAATAGTTATATTTATCAAAACTCTTTTTTTTTTGTTTAAAAAAATTACTATTGGATAAAAACTACAATTACATATATATCACTATACGAATTACTGTGTAATTAGTATTAACGAATGAACGTCATTCCGAATCACGTGATTTGTTATAAAGAAGGTCAACAAGTCATGATATAAGAATGAAGACAAGCTAACCAATGGATAGATAAATGGCGTCATAGGCGGAACACGCTAAATTTGATTAAATAAAACTTACTAAACAAATCAAAATGCCGCTCAAATCGAAAAACATTAAAGGAACAGAAAACTCCCTACAAACCGGTTGGTAATCAGAAAATGAAATTTTGGTTTTTCTTTAATTAGAAAGCCATTTGTTTATATTTAAAGCATATTTCATATTTATGATAGACGGATAATTTTCGATAACACTTGCGTGTCTATATAAGGATTTGATTAAATTTTCCTAACCCTCAAGGCTTAGGTATATTCCTCGTAAAATCATAATGATTCATTTAAACACAATCACTATCTTAAAAATTGTTAAGAACTTATCCGATTTAGAGAATAAATTAATAATTTAATTCAAAGTAGGTCTAAACGATGAAGGAATTAAAACTAACTGAATTATCAAAAATCCTCTATTTTGTCGGAAAAGCGAAATTTCAATATTGATCTGATCACATATTCTCCGAAAGCGAGATTATATTGTGTCATTCGGCCTCGTAACACGAATATTTTCACTAAATCACGCAATTTCTGGATCCAATCCCGAGAAACTTTTGCCTATACAACAAAATCGAAGTTAACGATGGACATACGGGAATACTTTCATACTAATTTCTGTACAAAAGTCTCCCAGTTATTTTTGAAACGAAAATGGCAGTCTACAATTAGAAAAAGCTGACAAGGATTCTTGCACGACTCAACTTTATGTAAATTATGAATGCCAGTAATGTATGACTTGTTACGAGATTTTATTTTAAAATAATTTTATTATTTTTTGCGGCACAACTTATTTTTAGAAAGTAGCAGTGAGTTTTTTAAAGAGATTATAAATGCTAATAATGAATAAAACTTTCATTAAGTTTAACCCACTCGAGATATGACTTGACCTCTTCTATATCTCCATTTCTTGACCTTAACTAACAAAATTCAACAGCTTATTGGGGAATAATTCTTCAATACAAGAACATGGTTTCAACAAGATGGTGCCACTTGTCACACATCAAATGAATCAATTGAAGCCGTAAAGGAGTTATTCCCCAATAAACTGATTTAGCGAAAAGTTGATGTTAACTGGCCACCGCGCATTCCAGACCTGAGTCCTCTGGACTGTTTCTAATGGGGATTTCTTAAAGAGAGGGTGTACGAAAATAAGCCGAGAACATTAACTCAATTAAAGCATAATATCACAGCAGAAATGGCATCGGTATCTCAGGCTTTGTGTCAACGTGTACTGAGAAATCTTCGCTCCAGATTAGAAGAGTGACAGGAGCGTAACGGACGCCATTTAGATAACATAGTTTTTAGTAAATAATTTTCCAACAACCATAGATTGAAAATAAAAACAAAACTTTCTTTGAACATTTTTTTATCTTTAATTTATTTTACTTTTAAACTGCACTCACCCTTTCTGGACACTCTGTATAATGAAAAATAAACGCCCACACAACACACAATTTTGTAAGGATTTTTGTTTACATTTATGAGCTAGAATGTCAAAAATATTACATATATTGTATACACTTTCATTACTTTGTTAAATAAGACAGAAATTAATTTGAAATAAGTTTTTCTTTACGATGTAGACTGCTCTTTACGATATATTTATGTAATTAATATACGTTAAGTAATATTTGCATTTTTGAATGTGTAACGCTAATATAATTAAATCATTTTATCACAATAGTTGATACGTTTCTTTAACATCGAACTATCATTTTTCGATTGAATAACTTTAAAAAATAGATAACCTACGCATCGAACAGCAAGAATATCATCAGTTCATTCCTACGTGCTCCAAAGCTTCACTTGTTGATAAATTTGGCAATTTCTATATTTGTATATAACTGTTGAATTCGATTGTTGGCTATTGTTGGGAGAATCGCCCAGTAATGAGTCCGAGAGGCCTATTTTGCGGGGTCGACCGGAAGTCGAGGGATGGAGTCGGCGTTTCCGACAGCTACCCAAACCCCTCAGGAAGTCATCGAGACCGAAGCACACTGACCAGAATCTTAACTCCATCCCTGTATAATGGCAATTTTTTTCATTTCTAAATTTAATAAGAAAGTTATAAAATTCATTACTCAAAGTTGGAACGAAATAATCGACGTCACAAAAACATATAAATTGGGTGAAATAAATTACGAAAAATATTCAGCTTTGTTTCGCAAATTGTCAATGTTTATTAAATTTCGTACATTTTTAAAGAGGAGAAAGTGGTTAAAAATAAAACGCATTCGTTCCTCAACGAAATTATTTAAAAGCCTTTGAAGAAGAAATGAAAATAGCCTTCTGCATTGGATTCAAAAAAGACCAATAAAATTTTACGATGCTAAATAGTTACTAACAATATTTAGGAATTAAATATTAAACAGGTTTTAATATTAATCGAAAAAACTTTCAAAAACGACAATACAACCCATATTGAAACAATGCGTAATTTAACGGAAGGGAAAGAGAATCGTTTTAAAAATAACTCTTTAAATTGTATTGTATTCATTAAATTCATTTAAGTTAACTTT